TTCCACGGATGTTAAAGGTTCTTCAGTGCCAATCGAGAGCCTTTATTTTAAAGTCTGAAGATTCAAATGTTTTTCATATATGTGTCCCTGGAGCACAGAAGCAGTGTTAAGTCGCTGGGGGATATTTGTAGCAATAGCCAACAATACATTGTATGGGTCACAATTATACATTTCTCTTTTATGCCAAAAATCATTAGGATATTAAGTAAAGATCATGTTCCATGAAGATATTTAGTAAATGTCCTACCGTAAATATATCAAAACTTAATGTTTGATTAGTAATATGCATTGCTAAGAACTTCATTTGAACAACTTTAAAGATGATTTTCTCAATATTTAGATTTTTTTGCACCCTCAGATTCCAGATTTTCAAATATTTGTATCTCGGCCAAATATTGTCCTATACTAACAAACTATACATCACTGGAAAGATGCATAAATGCATAAATCTCAATTTTGAAAAATTGACCCTCAAGACTGGTTTTGTGCTGCAGGGTCACAAATGTATCTTTTAAGGAGGAACCCAAAATGATGGTTTGCTGTAGATGTACATGCTCATGCTCGTCACTCTTCCTCAGGTTTGGTTCCAGAACCGACGCGCCAAATTCCGTAAGCAAGAACGCGCCGCCAACTCCAAAGGAGCTAACGTCGGCGCCAACGGCTCCAGTGCCAAGAAGTCTGGTGAGAACCGCTCTTCCTCCGAGGATGACGAGTCTAAAGAGTCGACCTGCAGCCCGACGCCTGACAGCACGGCGAACATGGGCAGCCCCGGGGCCAGCAGCCTCAGCCCCAGCCCAGTCTCGGGCTCCTCGGCCGGCTTCACCAACGCCTCCATCTCCCCCTCCATCCACCAGGGCCTCAAGAGCTCGCCGTGGCCCAGCATGGGCTCCACCGGGCCGGCCCTCCAGACCCAGGACCTGCTGAAGGCCTGGCAGCCGGCGGACAGTATGGCGTCTGGGCCATTCGCGGGCGTTCTGTCCTCGTTCCACCGGAAACCCAACACAATCAAGACCAACCTGTTCTAGAGACTCCGCTTCGTGCGTCTCCGTCGCTCATCTACTGCTAGTTCTGTTCTGTCCATTGATTTGTGTAGAGCTGGACTCCTGATGGCTCGTTTATTGTCATGTTGGCGCTTCTGATGTGTGTGTGTTTGTGTTTATTCAGGTCTTGTTTTCCTCTTTATGGAGGGTCTGAATGCTGCAGAGACGCCTTAATCAACATCCCTTGAATCGTCAGTAAATGAGTTCTTCATTTCCTCTTAAACGAAGGTCCAGAAACGTTTGTCCTTTCGCAGGAGCTTCAGAACCAGAAATCAGTTCAGGTCTTCAGGACGAGACGATGAATGAGAACGAACTGTGATGCGATTAGACGAGCTGCAACCAAATATTCACAACAGATTATGGGTTTATTAAGGATCTGTTTCTGAATGACCAATGTAATATTCCAGATTGTCCATTTTTATTCTTCAACAACTAAACGTCCAAGAGTTTCCGGGAGAATTTAAGGATTCAGGATCAGAATGATGTTGAACTTGTGTCTTGTTGATGAATATCTCATGTGGTTCTTCACTGAAGCTCTTTGAAGATGTGTGTGTGTGTGTGTGTGTGTGTATAGTGTGAGTGTGTGTGTGTGTGTGTGTGTGAGTGAGTGTATGTGTGCGTGTGAGTGTATGTGTGTGTGTGTGTGTGTGTATAGTGTGTGTGTGTGTGTGTGTGTATAGTGTGAGTGTGTGTGTGTGAGTGAGTGTATGTGTGCGTGTGAGTGTATGTGTGTGTATAGTGTGTGTGTGAGTGTGTGTGTGTGTATAGTGTGTGTGTGTGAGTGTGTGTCTGTGTGTGTGTATAGTGTGTGTGTGTGTGTGAGTGTGTGTCTGTGTGAGTGTATGTGTATAGTGAGTGTGTGTGTGTGTGAGAGAGAGTGTGTGTATAGTGTGTGTGTGTGTATGTGTATAGTGTGAGTGTGTGTCTGTGTGAGTGTATGTGTATAGTGAGTGTGTGTGTGTGTGAGAGAGAGTGTGTGTGTATAGTGTATGTATATTGTGTGTGTGTGTGTGTATAGTGTGTGTGACCCCAGAAACAAGCATAGTTAAGCCACTTGTAGTTAATTTATTGAAGGAAAAAATAAAAAAAAAGTTGGGATGATTTTTTTTAAGCTAGGCTTTTATTGAAAATATTTTGTAAATATTAATATATGTAGTTTCTCTCTTTTTTTTATGTTTCCTGGCTCCAGTGCACGTCATGTGTTTCATGAATGATCTGCTGTATATAATCCATAAAAATGACAAAATAAAGAGTGAAAATAGACTTCTCCAGTCACATCCATCTGTTGTTCTAGTATCACGAAGACGCTATTATCATTTTTGTTAATGTTTTTTGATTCCATGTTCATTTTATTTAGTTTTTGTCATTTTTAAGTTCTTATTTTAATATCTATATAGTTTTTTATTTCAGTTTTAGTTATTTTAAGTACATGAATTTAAACTGAATGAAAATTAGAAATTTGTTTTGTTATATTTTAGTTTCAGTTCAGTTATTTAAATTTTAATATTTAGTTTTAGAGCGCTGTAATAACTTTGGCAGGAGCTCAATGAAAGCTCAGAATAGTCCAGAAATTCCTTGCGTTTAGATTTTGATTAGAACCAGAAAAAACTCCTTTATTGTGAAGTTTAAAATGTTAGGTTAGAAATGCTATGTACAAAACTTAAAGAACGAGTTTAAACATCATCCTATAACGTCTTAAATTTAGAATAACCTACAACTTGTCTTAAAGGCCTTCATCTTCTTTTTAAAAAACTTCTTTCAAATATTAAGCATTAAAACATTATTTTCGAATCCAGCTTTTTTCAACAAATGCAGACTTTGATAATGAAAAGTGACATTAATGAAGAGAAACAAATCCTGCAGTATCTTCAGAAACACAGATAGACATATATTACTGAATATATAATAATATTACTACATACTATACATGAATACATAGTATTTATATATCTATTATGTGTGTGTGTATACATATCATCCCAGAAAATGTTCAAATGAGACACACGTTTCTTTACTGAACATGCAGGCACACTAGGTTTTAATTTTTATTAAATTGAAAAAAAAAAAAACCATTAAAAGGACAGAAACTCAAACACAATATTAACTTATGACAACAGAGTTATTTATATTCAAAGGATTATGATTATGAATGACGGGCGAGAAACATATAAAGTTAAAACGTAATACACAGAACACATATGCAAGAACATATACATGCATTTCAGGAGAAACACCACAATGATGATAATATTAAAGACTCTGTTAAATAAAACGAACAGTTTTCCTGCTAAAGACTACAGCGGTGATGCATTACAGAACGAGGTCAGACTCCAGCTTCCCAAACTGAAGCTCCTCTGAAAGACACAAACACTGAATCTGCAGCAGGGTGTGAACTCATCACATCTTGAATGAACGAATCAGACTGCATTTGAACGAACGAACGAACAAAGATTCACATCTGTATCTGCAGCAGTCAGATGAAGCCTGATCATCCAGCGCCACCTGCTGTTACAAACCTGATGAAGATTCCTGACAAACCGACTGATCTCCTACACGGTGAGCTGCTGATTTGGGCTTTTCCCTTTCCTTTAAACTCATAAAACATGCAAGAAAAACAAACCGTTCATAATTAACACTTCAGTCACCAAAGGTGAGGAATGTTCCGATGACTCACTTCCTCCAGAAGTCGTCCTTTCTGACATGTTTAAATAATATTACCAACTAAAACAACCAGCTTTATTACATCGGATTAAATTAAAACCACTTTGTCTACCAGTGCAAAGTTTCTCTCGGTTCAGTCCGGTCTGGATCGGCTCATTTCTGCTGCTGCTGTTGCTTTAAGCTGGCCAATAGTATTTTCTTGTGGGCGGGGTCATGAACGCCCGCCTCCTCCAGATCCTCCTCTGTGATGTCACTGCAGGAAGAGACGTGATTGGATGAGAAGCTTGTATTCAAAATACATTTATGGACATTCTAATCACAATCACTATGATTGATATTTCTGAGCAGCGCTGAGAAAACATAAGTAGTATCATGTGTAATAGGAAACTTGCTAAAAATAGGAAAAATGACTTTTTAAAAATCGCATATCTACATGATTTACTACATTTGTCAAAGTTTATGGTACTTATACCAAAAACATTTTTTATTACATTATAAAAATTAAATCAATAAAGAACTTTACTACTATAGTAATAACACTAACTCTACTGTACTGTAAAATAAAAAAGTATTTAAAATAATAATTATTATTATTATTATTTTACAGAACTGATAAAAATACAATATTAATAAACTAATAATTATATTTTAACTAATAAAAATGTTGCAAACCCACAAGACGTGCTACATTTGTCACAGGCTATGATACTTTTATGGTGCTTTTACATTTTGCACTTTTTAATAGTTTTATTAAATTATAAAAAATAGTGTAGTAATAACACTTACCCTAGTGTTCAGTAAAATAAAATAAGAAAAATATGTACAAATGTAAAATAAAATCATTATTATTAAAATACTTTTTTATTTTACAGTACAGTAGGGTTATACAGTAGTAATATATGATATGATTACATTTTCATAATTTGCTCAAATTTAAATAAAGTTCTATGGTTTAATGGTTGAAAACATTTACTGTTGTCCTATAAAAATTATTAATTTAAAAATTTTTTTTACCATACAATAGGGTTAATATTATTAGCAAAGTAATGTATCATATATGATTTACAATTTATAGTTTAATAAAAGAAAAATATTTAAAAGGCGCAAAATGGAAAAGCACAATAAAAGTATCATAAACTGACAGGTGTGTGTTTAACCCCCGCGTGACTGCGCCGCAGACCGACAGGTGTGTGTTTAACCCCCGCGTGACTGCGCCGCAGACCGACAGGTGTGCGTTTAACCCCCGCGTGACTGCGCCGCAGACCGACAGGTGTGCGTAATATTAACTTATGACAACAGAGTTATTTATATTCAAAGGATTATGATTATGAATGACGGGCGAGAAACATATAAAGTTAAAACGTAATACACAGAACACATATGCAAGAACATATACATGCATTTCAGGAGAAACACCACAATGATGATAATATTAAAGACTCTGTTAAATAAAACGAACAGTTTTCCTGCTAAAGACTACAGCGGTGATGCATTACAGAACGAGGTCAGACTCCAGCTTCCCAAACTGAAGCTCCTCTGAAAGACACAAACACTGAATCTGCAGCAGGGTGTGAACTCATCACATCTTGAATGAACGAATCAGACTGCATTTGAACGAACGAACGAACAAAGATTCACATCTGTATCTGCAGCAGTCAGATGAAGCCTGATCATCCAGCGCCACCTGCTGTTACAAACCTGATGAAGATTCCTGACAAACCGACTGATCTCCTACACGGTGAGCTGCTGATTTGGGCTTTTCCCTTTCCTTTAAACTCATAAAACATGCAAGAAAAACAAACCGTTCATAATTAACACTTCAGTCACCAAAGGTGAGGAATGTTCCGATGACTCACTTCCTCCAGAAGTCGTCCTTTCTGACATGTTTAAATAATATTACCAACTAAAACAACCAGCTTTATTACATCGGATTAAATTAAAACCACTTTGTCTACCAGTGCAAAGTTTCTCTCGGTTCAGTCCGGTCTGGATCGGCTCATTTCTGCTGCTGCTGTTGCTTTAAGCTGGCCAATAGTATTTTCTTGTGGGCGGGGTCATGAACGCCCGCCTCCTCCAGATCCTCCTCTGTGATGTCACTGCAGGAAGAGACGTGATTGGATGAGAAGCTTGTATTCAAAATACATTTATGGACATTCTAATCACAATCACTATGATTGATATTTCTGAGCAGCGCTGAGAAAACATAAGTAGTATCATGTGTAATAGGAAACTTGCTAAAAATAGGAAAAATGACTTTTTAAAAATCGCATATCTACATGATTTACTACATTTGTCAAAGTTTATGGTACTTATACCAAAAACATTTTTTTTATTACATTATAAAAATTAAATCAAAGAACTTTACTACTATAGTAATAACACTAACTCTACTGTACTGTAAAATAAAAAAGTATTTAAAATAATAATAATTATTATTATTTTACAGAACTGATAAAAATACAATATTAATAAACTAATAATTATATTTTAACTAATAAAAATGTTGCGAACCCACAAGACGTGCTACATTTGTCACAGGCTATGATACTTTTATGGTGCTTTTACATTTTGCACTTTTTAATAGTTTTATTAAATTATAAAAAATAGTGTAGTAATAACACTTACCCTAGTGTTCAGTAAAATAAAATAAGAAAAATATGTACAAATGTAAAATAAAATCATTATTATTAAAATACTTTTTTATTTTATATTACAGTAGGGTATATGATATGATTACATTTTCATAATTTGCTCAAATTTAAATAAAGTTCTATGGTTTAATGGTTGAAAACATTTACTGTTGTCCTATAAAAATTATTAATTTAAAAATTTTTTTTACCATACAATAGGGTTAATATTATTAGCAAAGTAATGTATCATATATGATTTACAATTTATAGTTTAATAAAAGAAAAATATTTAAAAGGCGCAAAATGGAAAAGCACAATAAAAGTATCATAAACTGACAGGTGTGTGTTTAACCCCCGCGTGACTGCGCCGCAGACCGACAGGTGTGCGTTTAACCCCCGCGTGACTGCGCCGCAGACCGACAGGTGTGCGTTTAACCCCCGCATGACTGCGCCGCAGGTGTGTGTGTACCTGAGGAACTCCAGGTCGTCCCAGCCGTTGTGCAGCAGTCCCTCCTCGTAACGCTGCAGACCGAGCTTCTGAAGCCACTCGCCGACGTTGCACTCCACCGAAAGACTGCTGCTGCTGCTCTCGTCACGCCACAGGCCCTGCATTGCAGCAGCAGCATACAGTATACCATGATAACAACAACAATCATCGTAATAAATTATTCATTACTGTTATCATATGTGACTCTGGAGCACAAAACCAGTCATAAGGGTCAATAAATAATCTCTCCATTGATGTATGGTTTGTTAGGATCGGACAATATTTGAAAATCTGGAATCTGAGGGTGCAAAAAAATCTAAATATTGAGAAAATCATCTTTAAAGTTGTTCAAATGAAGTTCTTAGCAATGCATATTACTAATCAAACATTAAGTTTTGATATATTTACGGTAGGAGATTTACTAAATATCTTCATGGAACATGATCTTTACTTAATATCCTAATGATTTTTGGCATAAAAGAGAAATGTATAATTGTGACCCATACAATGTATTGTTGGCTATTGCTACAAATATCCCCCAGCGACTCAACACTGCTTTTGTGCTGCAGGGACACATATATATTATAACTTATATAACTTTTAACATTTTATTAATACAAATTATCTTAGATCAATATTATTACAGCTCACAAAAAAAGTAATTATTGTTATATTTTGGAATCATTCATTTCTAATGTAATTAAAAAATATTTAATAATAACTATTAATAATTTGTTAATCTCAAATAATATCCATTAATAATTAATAATAATAATTTCATTATTAATTATTGCTATCATTATTAAAAATATTATTAACAATATAATTAAATATTATCAACATAATTTAAATTACATTGGAAATGAATAATTATAAAATATAACAGTAATAATAAATATGATTTTTAATTGTTGTTATTATTATTAAAAATATAATATACTGATTAGTATTATTAATATTCCTTAATATAAAATAATATTATTATTAATTGTTATTCGTCATAATAGTTAATAACAAATTCTTCTTATTATAATTAACAAAATAAAAATATTATGTATTATTATTAGCAACATTTAAATATTTTTAATTAAATTATAAAATTAATAAATATACAATATAATACGTATTATTAATTATTGCTATTATTAACAATGTATATTAATAATATATAATAATATTATTATTAATAACTTATTTTCTTAACTTAATACTTAATAACAAAATTATTATTATTGCTATTGACAAAATAACAAATAATAATTATTTATTATTATTATTACTATTATTATTATCGTCATCTCAATATTATAAAATGATCAAATCAATAAATATAAAATACATTTATATTTATTAATTTATTTTTACTTACAAAATTTAAGAATTATAAAAATTAAATCACTAAAAAAAGATTCCAAGACACAAGCCGCTCCGACACACTGAAAGCCCCGGATCATGAGCTGCTCGCGCGTAAATGAACACAGTGCGTGTGTATTGTTGCGTCACCTCCTCGGGCAGGTCTTCTGCGATGCTCTCCTCCTGTATGGAGCGCGGAGAAATATATAAATAAAAATGACAAAAATATACAAGTAAAATATTATAAATACTATAATACTAAAACAACACTGGTGTGTGTGTGTGTGTTCACCCTTTTCTGCGTGCTTGCGTCACCTCCTCTTCTTTACAGGAGTGTGTGTGTGTGTGTGAGTGAGTGAGTGTGTGTGTGTGAGTGTGTGTGTGAGTGTGTGTGAGTGAGTGAGTGTGTAAGTGTGTGTGTGAGTGTGTGTGAGTGAGTGAGTGTGTAAGTGTGTGTGTGAGTGTGTGTGAGTGAGTGAGTGTGTAAGTGTGTGTGTGAGTGTGTGTGAGTGAGTGAGTGTGTAAGTGTGTGTGTGAGTGTGTGTGAGTGAGTGAGTGTGTAAGTGTGTGTGTGAGTGTGTGTGAGTGAGTGAGTGTGTAAGTGTGTGTGTGAGTGTGTGTGAGTGAGTGAGTGTGTAAGTGTGTGTGTGAGTGTGTGTGAGTGAGTGAGTGTGTAAGTGTGTGTGTGAGTGTGTGTGAGTGAGTGAGTGTGTAAGTGTGTGTGTGAGTGTGTGTGAGTGAGTGAGTGTGTAAGTGTGTGTGTGAGTGTGTGTGAGTGAGTGAGTGTGTAAGTGTGTGTGTGAGTGTGTGTGAGTGAGTGAGTGTGTAAGTGTGTGTGTGAGTGTGTGTGAGTGAGTGAGTGTGTAAGTGTGTGTGTGAGTGTGTGTGAGTGAGTGAGTGTGTAAGTGTGTGTGTGAGTGTGTGTGAGTGAGTGAGTGTGTAAGTGTGTGTGTGAGTGTGTGTGAGTGAGTGAGTGTGTAAGTGTGTGTGTGAGTGTGTGTGAGTGAGTGAGTGTGTAAGTGTGTGTGTGAGTGTGTGTGAGTGAGTGAGTGTGTAAGTGTGTGTGTGAGTGTGTGTGAGTGAGTGAGTGTGTAAGTGTGTGTGTGAGTGTGTGTGAGTGAGTGAGTGTGTAAGTGTGTGTGTGAGTGTGTGTGAGTGAGTGAGTGTGTAAGTGTGTGTGTGAGTGTGTGTGAGTGAGTGAGTGTGTAAGTGTGTGTGTGAGTGTGTGTGAGTGAGTGAGTGTGTAAGTGTGTGTGTGAGTGTGTGTGAGTGAGTGAGTGTGTAAGTGTGTGTGTGAGTGTGTGTGAGTGAGTGAGTGTGTAAGTGTGTGTGTGAGTGTGTGTGAGTGAGTGAGTGTGTAAGTGTGTGTGTGAGTGTGTGTGAGTGAGTGAGTGTGTAAGTGTGTGTGTGAGTGTGTGTGAGTGAGTGAGTGTGTAAGTGTGTGTGTGAGTGTGTGTGAGTGAGTGAGTGTGTAAGTGTGTGTGTGAGTGTGTGTGAGTGAGTGAGTGTGTAAGTGTGTGTGTGAGTGTGTGTGAGTGAGTGAGTGTGTAAGTGTGTGTGTGAGTGTGTGTGAGTGAGTGAGTGTGTAAGTGTGTGTGTGAGTGTGTGTGAGTGAGTGAGTGTGTAAGTGTGTGTGTGAGTGTGTGTGAGTGAGTGAGTGTGTAAGTGTGTGTGTGAGTGTGTGTGAGTGAGTGAGTGTGTAAGTGTGTGTGTGAGTGTGTGTGAGTGAGTGAGTGTGTAAGTGTGTGTGTGAGTGTGTGTGAGTGAGTGAGTGTGTAAGTGTGTGTGTGAGTGTGTGTGAGTGAGTGAGTGTGTAAGTGTGTGTGTGAGTGTGTGTGAGTGAGTGAGTGTGTAAGTGTGTGTGTGAGTGTGTGTGAGTGAGTGAGTGTGTAAGTGTGTGTGTGAGTGTGTGTGAGTGAGTGAGTGTGTAAGTGTGTGTGTGAGTGTGTGTGAGTGAGTGAGTGTGTAAGTGTGTGTGTGAGTGTGTGTGAGTGAGTGAGTGTGTAAGTGTGTGTGTGAGTGTGTGTGAGTGAGTGAGTGTGTAAGTGTGTGAGTGAGTGTGTGTGTGAGTGAGTGTGTGAGTGTGTGAGTGTGTGTGTGTGTGTGTGTGTGTGTTCACCTGTTCTGCGTGCTCTCCTCTTTACAGGAGTGTGTGTGTGGATGTCGTCCCGTGACGCTTTTCTCTCCTTCCTCTGAGACCTTCCCGAGGTCAGCTGACCCCAACTTCCTGCTGGTGGACGTTCTGAAGGAACAAACGCATCAGAATGAAACTCCTCCTCGTCACCGACACTGCTGGGAAATGATGACGAGTGTCAGACGAATCATGAATCTGGACTCACTTGACATAGTCGTGTCCGGCTCGAGGAGGAAGAGTCCTGCCTTTGGGTCCACCTGTCTCGTCCTTATCCACACTGATCCACTCTGAAGACCACACACACACACAAACACACACACACACACACACACACACACACGACAGTAATGAAGAACGGATTGTGGTATATAGCTGCATTTTCCCTAATTATAATTATTTAATCATTATTTACTCACTGTATGTATGGGCATGTATTTGTATATATCATGGTTATTACAGTTAACTAAAATAATAAAAAACATTTTAATTTCTTGAAATAAAATAAGCATTATCTGAAATAAAATATAGACAAAACTTAAAAATAAAAATGAATATAAATATATAGACATATTTTAAAAACAAAAACTAATAAAAACACAATACAATTACTAAAACCTTAACTAAAATTAAAGTGACAACTGAATAAAATAAATATAATACTATATCAATGAAAATAAAAAAAACACTGGTATATATATATATAAGTGTTTTTTATTTTCAT